ATTTAGAACACCAGGAGTTTAGTTTATTTTATTTTGATACTTCAAAATAAATTATTTGCATTAGCTTTAATTTTTCTAGATTTGAGTTAAATGTGCTTCTGAAGTATTGGTTAATATTAGCACTTTTTAAAGACATTAGTAAACAGTGAAATAGGTGAGGCTTTTAATAAAGTTGCTATGAGACATAAGTTGTTGACAAGAGGCTCATTTCCTGTTTTCATTTAACTAGTAATTGTCCTTTAAAATGCATTAAATATATTGGACTAATTACAGAATGTACACCTGATCACACAATGCAAAATGTATGAAATATCATACTGAATCAAATGAGTATATTAAATAGTTAACCTGTGCAGTCATGATTCCTTGCAGGATATACTAACATTCAAAAGTTTAGAATTAAGGCACAAAAGTTTGAAATCAATGTTTTTTTAAGAATATATGAACAGTTTAGTTGCAGATACATATATAAATTGATTCTAATATTAAAGTCAAATTCAACTTTAAACTTTTAAATAATTAGAAGGAAACTGCAAAATATGATAATAACAAAAAAGAAAAAGCTGTTCCAAGAATATTTTAAATATAAAAAAAATCTAAAATGCCTTTTGGGTTCTGTTTTTATAAGATTTAAATCTACATTATATAAATTATTATTGTACTGTATATTAAATTAAAATGACATTGAATCTAAATTTGTGAATGATGCCATTTTATAAAAATATAATTTCTTAATTAAAAAATCATATTTTATAACACTGAGGTAATGTTAAAGTGTGTTTTTGCATTTCTTTCTAGAGTGTAATTAAATCTCACACAGAAAATGCCTCTTTACTGGCTTATGTTAAATTCAACATGATTTAAAAATTGACTATTAATTTAGACTGTTAATTCATGTCTCTGGTCATCTTAATAACAGTTCATCATAACCTACTGTTTAAAAGACGAATCCAGATGTTCCTATAATTTTCCATCAAAACATAATGACTTTCTACTGCCCCAAAACATTGTCTGTTCTTTGATTGAATCACCATGCACCAACAAATGGAGGAAAATAATATTAACTAATAACATCATGTTTTACCTGCCACTCCCATCATCAAACACTGAACTAGCTCAGAGACCCTCCCTGATATAACCTAATCTCTATCTGCTGCATAAATAGGATACAGCAATTGTAATGTATTTCCCTATACCTAGTATTAGAATGGGAAACCTGTTGAATTCAGACACACTTATAAGAGAAGCCAGTTGGCAGTTGCTTTAAAAGAAATGTCAGATGAGATTAGGTTGACATACACTGGAGTAGTCCTTAAATAAATGCTGTGCTCATCTCAGTTCTGCTCTTATCCTGCTCTTGTTGTAGACTCGAGGTGATTCCAGTTTCCAGACAGAATAGAAAAGAATGTAGTTTAGTTTATTTGGTTTAGATGTACAGGGACAATTTACAGTAATAAACATTTCTGTAAATGTTTTAACTGTAGTCACAGGGTTGGTAGAGAAAGACAAGCGCACTAATTAAACACGAGTGATTCATACAGCAATACGAGACAACAAATAAAATAAAGCACAATGCGATCTGTTAAAAAAATTTACATACTTTAATGTTATTCTTGGTATTTTTTATCCATGATTTCGAAGTAACTGAAAAAGTACCAAATATAGTGCATTCAACTAATATGAATTGGCAGCTCATTCCAAGTGTGAGCTGTTCGTACTGAAAAAGCTGACTGTCCAAAGGACATTTTCCTCTTAGGTATTACAACATCTCCTCTTGTCACTGATCTAGTGGACATGTATTCAGTTGTTTTCTGCTTAATGAAAGCAGTTAGAGGATGAGAAACCAAAACATACATGATCTTACACATAAGGAAATCTCTTAATTTGTTAGAAATCACTCGTTTGTAGACATTTGTAACACTAAGCATCAGTAGAGCTGGTGAGCATGATGTTTCTGTTATGAAATTAAAGATTCTTTATCAAACGTGTATGGGGCATTAAACAGTGTTTGTCGTTTTGTATTTTTATTTAATCTTACACCAAAGCTTACAGTGAGAGTAAAATGTAGGCTTATGTTTTTATGTTCTTACAATTTTTGTTTTGTTGTCCACATGAGCGACCCAGAAGGATAAGCGGTTTAGATGATGTATGCATGTATGTATGTCCACATGAGCTATCTTGGCAAGCTCTGTACCTACAAGCTCTGTATGTTTTAAATTTTGCCTTCCTGCTCGAGTGATGTAAACTACATCCAATCAAACGTCTTCACTCCAAATCTTCACTGTCAACAGTTATGTATAAAAGCAGATATTTTCATTATTTTAACTTATAGATTCATATAAGATTAAGAGAGCCATTGTCCCTCTCTTCCCTCTAGGAAAGTTTAATGTTTGCCGTTTGTGATGAAGACCAGTCCATCATTGCTCAAATGCAGTGCGGTGGTTGGGCTCATTGACATAAGGTAGAAATCTGCTGAACTTTTTCAGATTTCTTTGTGCAACAAGAATCATGCACTGCATGGGTCCGACAGAGCTCTCCATTTAAATGCTTATCTTGCGCTGCTCCAGCACAGCAATGCACTGTGACATATTCCATTCATTTTCAATCGGAAGCTCCGGTTCAGTCCGTAATTTTTGCACTTTGCCATGCATTTGCACATGTGGTCCATTAATGCATTGCTCTTGGTGAAATCAGTGGCAAGGCATACATTTATTACAGATACCAAAGCACCCTCTGGTAGATCTGATGCGTTGGATTTGGGGGATGCAGAGCTTCAAAAAAGATGAGCAGAGCTAAACCTTATGCCGATTAATCCAGGCAATACAGTGCATTTACCCAATCAGGGCGCAGGTGGTGTTTGCATGATTTGTTTTGGCACACCAATAAATGAAACATTGGTTCTGTATGTAAATGTTCTTGTGTAACATGGAGTGACACTGGCAAAAGATCATATATTTAAACACAACTGTTTATCTCTAAAATTTAAAATGATGTTGAGTGCAAGTGGTAATCAACAACCTAAATCCTAATCTGTCCTAAAAAGTTTAACCTTATCAATATTTTGGAAAGTATCAGTGTATTGATTCATGCTACGCTGAGTTACTGATTATTAAAAAAAAAAAAAGCGTTATTTGCATAAATGTTGTAACCTCCAGAAGGAGGATACACTCATGTTTTGTAGTCCACTTGTACCTTTGCCGAGCCCCATCCTAATGTTGCATTTACACTGGACATGTACCCTGAGAGTCAAAAGGACCTGTTCTGTTCCGTACCTGTCCACCCCTCACTCCCTCCTCCTTTAGTATCTAACACACTTTATACACAGATACATTAAAATGTCATTGTTTTGTCAACCTTCCTACTTATATTTCATAACCCAAGGTTAAAGTTCCAGCTGTTCATACAGTTGTTGCTGAAGTAGCAGAGTACAAAAAAGGCCCTAATTCTCAGGGCCCATGTAGAACCTGGAAGCAGAATGATTTAAAGCATTGCAGTGGCCGCCCACAGCCATGACCAGCAACACTGGCTCTTTAGACTTGCCTCATATGGTTTTACTTTTGTCCCCGCTATGGCTTTCTGATGGAGAATATAATGACGATATTCTAAGACCGCATCGTAAAATGAAAATACAGAAAATGACAAGAACGAGTAATCCAAGTTCTCTTTGGTTTAAAACTTTAGTGTGTGAGTAGCTGTGTGCATGTAAATGGATGTTCGTCTAAAGAGGAGAGTTTAGCTGTTTGTGATGATAGGAGATGTGCAGTGGGGCCACTTAAATTTAACTGTTTTCCATCCAGCTTGTAATTAAGCAACTCACATTTTTGGTGTACATCAAAATGTCTGTAAATTAAAAAGGCAAGGTCTCAAATGTTTGTCCAAACCAAGGGTTCATACTCACAGGCAGCGCCTGCCTTTCCTGTGCATGGGTACTAACTGTAAACTTGTAAACATAAGCATAGTGGAATTGCGTACTGTCACATATACTTGAGCTGTGTTACATATTGCCATTGGCAGTGCAGGAGATGCAAAGCTGCTAAGCTACTGCTACCTGCTACAAGGACAGTTCTAAACACCAGCTTGACAGCTAATTAGATAGATGTGGAATATAAATTTGACACTGTCAAAATTTTAAATAAGACCATAATTCATTTGTTTTAGTTAACTACAGTATTCTAAAATGTCCAGTTGCCACGTCATAATCCCCTCCTTAGCATATTTGGGTATACTGGACTGTAGCTTCACACTCATTTGTGACATACAAAACTAAAATGGCTGTTAAAGACTGTGCCATCCCAGAGGAGTTAACCATTTAAAACCATGTTTTTGAGTGCAGTGGGTCTTTAATAATATACTTCATGTTGCAATAAGTAAATAGAGCTCATACGTGTAAAGTGTGTACATGTGGGACATGTTCTGTCAATAGAATGAGTGTTATTAGGAACCAGTTATCCATCTAGTTGTTGTTGTCCAGCTGCATTCCAATATTGCTCATCAAAATTTAAATTATATGGGGGTTGCATTGTCAATTAATGTTTGAAAATGTATTAAAAATCATCCTACTGAGCAGCAAAAAACAGAGAATGACATGTTTCTAAAACATTTTAATTAGCAAAAAAATAGCCAGCAACTTTATATTTTTCATATATGTCAGTATATGTTATTATTTTATAATAATTATAAAATAACTGCTCTAGGGATTGTCTACATTGTTGACCATGGATGCCATACACCAACAACACCCATCAAAGCTTAGCCTCAGTACACAGTGCTTGAGCATCACATAATAAGTAGTAATACATGCTTACAGACTGCTTAGACACAGTCTGTAGTCACAGTCTAGCATTCTGACCTGGAATTGACTCAGAATTCTGTCAGGAATGGACGTTTCTGAATGCCTCTCTCTCATTCTCTCTTTTTCTTCTCTCTCCATTTCTCTCCCTCCTTGGCCAGGAGGGATTGAGGGAGACAGAGCAACATGAGAGAAGCTTGACTGTGTGAAGGGAAAAGACAGGCTCTCCTGCACTGTCCCAGGCTGCTCATCTACTCATCTGCTTCCATTGTAGGTTCCCTCTCTTTTTGATTCCTTGTTCAAACCTGAGTATGCAGACAACATGGAAAAATACAAATACTTGTCAATGACAGTAAGCTAAACTGCAATGATGAGCCTCTCACACTTTTGGAATTACAAGGTTTTATCGAATATGAGTCATGATGTTTTTTTTGCAGACCAAAGGCTTTCGCTAACCCTTAGACTTGTAGATTTTTCATTGCTATACATTCTTTGCTATACATTTGATTTACATTGCACAATTATTACAGTAATTACATAATTACGTAATGGCTTAGTTACTTAGTGGGTTATTTAGTAAATGCTTATGTAATTAGTTATGTAAATGAATTACATTTACATTTGATTTACATACTGTGTCGATATGTAATCACTTGTCATTAATGATTGCTGTTAGTTTATTCAATAATAGCTTGTGCAGTGTAACTTAAAATACCATAAGCTAGATGCCAGAAGGTGTTTTAAGATATTTTATTCAACATTTTATTTTCTTTTTGGAAATATCAAAAAATTCTAAAATAATACATAATATAGTGTAATTATTTGTTTTCAGTAATTCTTGATGAGTTAACTGTCTTAAGCTTTGATCGCCGCTTTTCAAATATTGTTTTTTGTTGTTAATTTTATTATATCATCATTGATGCTTTCTCAGACATTATTTAATCAAATACAGCTCTGTTCATCCTATTGAACACATCTGGAAGTTCTCATTTTCTACAGCTTTTATCTAATTAGTTGAAACTTATGAAGTTGTAGAGTAATTGCATCATATTATAATCATTTTATACATGTACCTGCAACAATTTTTTTTCCATATTATTGAAAACAATGATTCCATACTTTAAACAGTACATGAACACATAACAATAACGATTAAAAGTCTAGAATCCACACTTTCGCCAGAATTCCTTTGCTTGTTTTGGAAAGCTATGAGTGAGAATCAATAATAAATAAACAACATGTAAAAAGAGGCATTTAATGGCATATAGCTATGTCATGAGGCACTTGGGAGGGTTAAAGTTGACCAAAAATGCCTGGTGCTCTATTAGTAGATAAAGCATTCTGTAATGGTGTTAAAGTGGGAGTTGGTGGGAGATCTTGACAAATGATAATTTATGCTGCTGCTTAATGTTTAGTTGTGTGTCATAAGTACAGCTCTATTTATTTCACTCTGTTCTGTTGTGTCATGGTGGAGGGGAGTGTACCATTGCGGTTTTGTCAGGGGGTAGGTTAAACGAGTGGTCTTCATCGCACTTCTTCCTTAACAAGCTCAAACTGGACTCTGGGGGGAGATGGAGATGAAAACCATCACGTCTGGACCTGGAGAGAGAGAAGAACTGAGCCATATCAAAGGGCCAGGCAAGTCCTTTCACTCCATGGGGTCTCTCTCTCTCTCTCTCTCTCTCTGTCTCTCTCTTTCTCTCTCTCTCTCTCTCACTCACTCCTCCCCTCCCTTCAACAGAATGCCTCAGCCATATGAGGCACATTAGAGTAATTGACAAGCAATGGGACTAGGCGTGAGGTGATCTCTCCCTTTCTTCTTTTGCTCGTTGTCCTAAGTGTTTGCTCTCTCTCTCTCTTTCTCTCTCTCTCGCCCTCTTGCTCTTGCTCTCTTTCTCTTTCTGTCTCTCTCCCTCTCTCTCTCCCTGAGACTCAAGGGATAAGGAACTCTCCCCAACTTCACTCACTTCCAACTCCTCTCAGTTAGTTCATCATTTTTCAGTACATTCTTTTTCCCAATATAACTTTTTTTGTCTTTATTCTCTTTCCTTTTTTCTACTGGACAGCTACAAGTGAGTGGAACAAAGAGATCAATTAGCTCCTTTCAAGTTAGATCAAAGCAGTGTGGCCCCATGTCCAGACATTTACACAACCTGTGTACCAATTAAAACGGTAGGGGATGCTGCCCCGTTGCCCCTTCACCTCAGCATCCCTGCACACATGCCATGCAGATAGGTACCCATACAGAAGAAAAATGTATGTATGTGCATTTCCTTAGATCATAAATATTAAGAACATATAATTCAATAAATAGGATGTCTTGGGACTGTCTGAATTTTTGCCTGTCCGTTAGTTAAGATATTAGTTCCGATGATGTTTCATTAAATAAAACGTTTTAAATTCATTTTCTTCAAGATTTCACCATTTTATAAATGAGAATAAAACTGTATGTTAACAAGGCTTTAAGATCTCTAAAGAAGAAGAGGGAGAGGGAGGAGGGACGTGGGAGAGGAAAACGTTGAAGCTCAGGCCACAGACAGGTGCAGTGACCCTGTCCACCTCTGGAGGTGCCGCTTGCAGTTTATGGGACATTTATGGTTGGCCAGTGCTTTTTAACATGGCCACCTGGTTGCAATAAGAGCGCAGCTCCTGAGCCCCAGTCCCCCATAGGAAACGCTCGGCAGCTCCCGAGGGAGCTGGGCCCTGTTAAGATGTTTATGATGCTGAAAGTGGTCCGAAGGGAAAACACTGACAGGTACAGAGAAGAATTTTGTAGAAGGAGCTTGTTTTCTTGTTATTCCTAATGCTTCCCCTGAGGGTTGTTTTCCCCCCTTCTTTTCCTGAATAAACCCACAGTGAGTGAAGGGCTGACTTAACTTGGAGTCTTGAAGTAGAAGGCTCCAATGAGCATTCAGTTCTCTTCATCTGTATTCACTCAAGGTCTTGAAATGGTTTTAGAATTAGTAAAAGTCACACATTCACCTTTTTATTTATGAATCATATTATGGTAGCATTTGAAGTGTGATCATTAACCTAGATATTCTTTAGAAGTATAAGGACAAGGTAAAATGCACAATCCCTGTGTCTCTCAGTGCCAATCAATGTTGGCTTTGGAGAGAGGAAAAACGAATTATAAGTAGGAGAAATGCCATGCTTGAGTACAACACTGGGTCAGAGCCCTTGTGCTGACCTCCAGGTGGACTGCTCTAATAACGTCATTAGAATAGCTAGGCTTCCTATGCGTTGATATATGGCACTGTCGCCAGAGGTTTGTTTTGTCTTTCTTGTGATACTTTTCTTTAAACTCAACAAAGATTGACTAAATTGGATTTAGGTTTTATGTGGATTTTTCCTGCTGTTTGCAATCAATAACTTGGTACCATTGAGAATTGGTTATTCCCCATTTTTCAAACAAAATGAAATGAATTAACCATCAACTAACCCAATCTCATTAACTGCCTAGTAATTATAATGAGCACTAATAATATCATTGGACTATGCTGCCCCTAGCCCTAAGCTTAACTTTTTATACATGGCTGTATGCTGGCATTTATACTCCTATGTCTATACAAATGCATTCAGGTGTTATGGTAGGTATATAAACTATGACATATGGCATATATAACATATTAAGACATGAACATTGGACTACCGTTCAAGAAGGTCTACTTTCTGGCCACAGTAGAAATATAATGCTGACAAAATCTCAAGCTCAGGAAGCACCAGGACTTTTGTTCCATTGACAGTCATGAGTCTGAGACTAAATGACTATAAATATGTATTTTGAAAATGCATGACCGAAAAGCTATACAACAAACATGAATATCTGGTTCCTACTATAATTTACATGTGCATGATGTTTTTGTTAGTCTTTTTCTAGAAATTTTTCACATATATCTATTCATTTTTACATATATTATATTATATTATATTATATTGCCTCTATCTAATTATAATATCATTATGATGAATATTATGAATAATGATATTGTCCTGTGTGGCTTATTTGGGTAAAATATTAGTTTTTGGACACAAGTCTACTTGAGAGTTTTTTTTTTCTTTTATGGGATACTCTCAGACCCATGGGTCAACAGATGTAGAGAGCAGTGAGTTTGCTGATGGGGATCTGTAGCACTCTGCCTAATGTTCAGGACAGATTGGAAACGCTAGCTTTTGACAGACGCTGCATAGATCTTCACCCCCAGATCCAGCCAGCTGAATAACATCTGGGAGTATGGCTATTTGGACAGAGAGCAGGCTGAAAGAACATACTCTGCAAAGTGTGTTCAACCCTTTTTTTATAGTGCCAGAAAGGACCATTCAGGAAAGTCCAACAAAGCTGTAGCATTGCTATTTCATGTATTTATTTGTTTGCTTGAGCAAGTGAAGGCCATTGAATATAGAAGCAACAGATTACCATAAGTAACAGCACAATCTCTGTTGATGACCTTTAGTAACACGTGCATGTAATATAGACTTGTAGCAGTGGGAGCACACTCCACAGACAGAAGCATAACTAACCAGCAATGCATCTTTATCCCATCATGCGGTTTCTGCTGATAGCCATGAGCGTGCATCTCTTTAGAGACGTTGAATCCTCTGTAATCTTCACCACAGTACAAGAGTTTATCATAATTACACACCAATCATGAGTTTTCAAATCCCATTTTGTTTTGACATGGCTCACAATCTCTAAATCTACTTAGAACATCTCCCAGTGTTTCAAGCCACAAGGCTCGGTGCACACATGAAATTTGAAGAGCTCTGGCTGAATTTATGTGTTCCACAAAAGAGCAATGGGGGATGTGTGTTGTAAATGGCACATATCCTAAAATCAGACTCGGAGCCCCCACTAGGCCTCTGCCAAAGGGTGAATAAATCAGTACAGAGAGGAATCACATGAACAAGACAAACATCTGCTGAAAAGCATCGTAAATCTGAGTCTCGGTTGGGAAGCCTTACCGTCACTGCTGTTGTCCTATAAGAAGTTGTAGACCAAACAAAAGCCAGATCTCCAGCTTTTTCCTTAAGAAGTGCACACAAAACAGTCTATCTCAAACATCCAGGACAGTACAAAAGCCACGGTGTATTTATTCTGTGATTAATATCCCCTTAAAGACTTTTAGCACACAGCGTTCAGCTGTATTCTCTGAAATATGAAGGACATTGTACATACACCGTGACCAGGAGTGAGGTCAGTGCCATAGAACTATGTACCATTTGAGATTTGATCTTATGTCTTTCTCTGCTTGGGTGGCTGCCACAATTTCTTCATAAAAAGCTAAAATTTGCCAAAAATCTGTAAGCTTTTCTGTATGACATATTCCAGACTGAGCAAATAATACAACTGCAGCATTTCTCAAGCACAGTTCCATTCTGAAATTGGCTCAGGACAGTCTGTTTCATCTTAAGCTACCTTTGATCTGCACTCGATACTAACCTTGATAAAGCTGAATAAAAACAAGTGAACTGTTTTGGCTCATAAACCTTTTCTTTATAGCTAGGCAAGAGGTGGAATGTTGGGAGAAACAAGGACATTGGCCTTAGCACAGGACTTAATTACAGACTCTGAGCATAAAACTTTTATAGCATTTATAAAACTTTCAAAGTCAAGACTTTTCTGCATTTGTGATTTAACAAAATGTCTTAACTAAATTAATTTTTGACTTTATATCAACATATCACTGCAGTCGGAACAAAACTTTGTATCTCCAAAAAATGAACTTAAAATGAATTTTGTCATTTTGAAACATTTCTATTGTTCTGTTCATCATATTTTGACACAATGTAAGTGGCAGTTTTGTTCCATGATGTACTCATGATATCTTACTAAAGAAGCCTACCTTGGTCCCAGCTTCTTTGGCTTTGTGTCTGCTTTAACATGAGACATCTATAGGACTTGGAACACCCCCTGCCACCAATAATAAACCAACAAAATAGATAAATTAAAGAAAATATGGCTGATTCAATATTATTATGTGATGTTTTTTGATGACAGTGGGTTTCGTTCACCAATACCTTCCTGAATTTTTCTTTATTTGTTGAGAAAGGTCCTAAGAAAAAGTATGTCAGATTCATGACGTGTTCTTAAACCACAGAATTGCTCACACCTTTGTGATCTTATGTGTGTGTAGATTCTGTTCTTACCTAAGAATGAATCCCAAATAAGAAAACATTGGTGAATGTCAGAATCTTCGTGAAAACTGCGTAAGTGGGATTGGAGAAGTTTCTTTTTAAGAACAGTTGGTGAATGAGGCCTAATCTGTCTAAAACTTATTAACACATTCTTTCAAACATTCTTAACGAACACCAGCAACTTCCGGATCAAGGCAGATCATTGAGGAAAACTTTTGTGCGAATTATAATTGAAACTATCATAGGGTGCTTTACTTGTTCTAATGCAGCATGATCAAACAGCCCATGTTGTGAGTTATAAGGGGCCACTACCCTGTGGTGTTTGTATGTGGCTAGCTGTGTAGCTAGTAGCTATCTCTCCATGACAGCCAGTTAATCATGTTGTAGTAACTTTATTTCAGACATGGTCCCTAATTGACCAGATTGAAATCTAACCATCTAATGACAAAACTAGCCAGCTAGGTAAGACTTATGTGTGACACAGAATAAGTAACAGTAATGTTAACAGTTCTGCTGCCTGAGATTTAGAGAATGAGAGCAAGTTTGGAAGATTTGATCTTATGTAGTATAAAAATGTGTGCAAACATACAGACGTAACGCTTTGATACAGATATTTTGTTTTTTAATTTAGATGTTACTATACAATACAAGAACATTAGATTATGCCTAGCATAATGCTAAAACCATAGAATATGAAAACAATAGAAATACAAACAATTAGACTTCTTCACAGAAAGTCTTCAACTTAATGGTGATAAAATGTTTTCCACAAACTCAAATTTTTTCCTAACCTTGGAAGCTAATCTAACCTGAGCACTGACCATGGCTCGCCATGTTTTTCTATCCTTTCTGAAATCAAAGACGTCTTGTGGGCTAATTTGTTCAACAGCGAAACTAAAAAATATCAAACAGTTGCCAGGCCTGCATGTGTTTTTATAACACTTAACAGGATTTTGTACTTTCTGGATGTTTCTCGAGACCCTTTGGTAACAATTGTTTGAATTCATTCTATAGTACTAGATGTGAGTTTGACTTTGTTCTGAATTTTTCTAAACGTCAAGAATCAGACAGAATACTGGAGTTCAGGTCAACAACTAAGGGACAAGAACTGGCAGTGTTAGTAGGTATGTTTTTAAAAAGTATCCTTATTACTCATTAAATAATCTGAAAGCATTGATGCATAGGCTGTTGGATATATCAATAAAGTGATGCTTAGAAATTTAACACATTAAATTTGCACATTTTATTTATGTACAAATAATGTGCATATTTAAATCAATTAAATTGAAAACGTCAGTACATAAAAGTACTAGAACTAGTTTGAAAGACTCAAGATTTCAAGTGATTAATAATGAATAGATATTGTAAAGAACATCTGTGTAAATCGGCTGTAGAGTGACAGACTGCCTGTATTAAAGACAGCCTGATAGCATGCTCTTGTTGTGGAAAATTCACAACATAAACCCAAGCTTCTCTTCACACACAGCAGAAATATTTCTGCTTGGATTTGCCTAATTGTACTTTTTTAAATGTTTGCACAGATTGTGGCATGTATTGTTGAAAATAAAAAAAAATAATATAACATACACTCTCTAATTAAATGGATGCTATCTTTTATATTTTTAACACATTGTTTACATTATTGCAGTATTGAACTAGTGCTCTCTGACAAACGACTATGATGTGTGGGTGTAATAGTAATAGTATATTAGGCAGCATAAACATAATTGCAGCTCAATATTCCCATTATGTAGATGATTTTACATCTTCAAAATAACACTGCTTTTGCAGGCCAGTAAATCTTTTTGAGAATTGGGCTGGCAGCTATGCACTGCCAAATTATACAGGGTAATTATCAGTGTGCCAGCTGACTGGGGCAGACAGTACTTACGTAAGCTGAATTCTGTGACTGAGTTACTGGGTCACAGCTTCAACCATACATTTCTTGCGTTTATAATTTTTCACTCTGCTACACACATACCAGTGTATACCAATGTTTGATTTAAGTATATTATAAAAATCTGTTTATGCAATAAAAGGAAGATACACTTTAAGCCATTGTAAACTTCCTGCATGATTGGGCGGTGATATTAGTGCAGTGAAAAATGCCCTTGTTTTTTAAACCTCATTTTGATGTAAAGTAGAAATAGTGTGTAAATTTTAGTGCAGATATTGAAGAACTTATGCTGAGAGCTTCAAATAGATGTACAGTTAGCACCATGCTTAATGATTTAGTTTCATGAAGCCAGAACAAAGAATCTAGACCATTAAAACAAAATTCAAAATTAAAATCAAAATTATTACAAATACAAATATTAACCACAAGGGGGCGACCTTTACATCCAACTGAGTATGAACGACCGTTTGTACTGGGAGAGCTCTGCTGTTTCCCTTACCTCTGTCAGATTCAAGCTAGACATTATTATAATCCTGAGCACAAGATAAACAAGAGTTTGTATTATTGCATAACGTTCCAATGACATTTAGAAAAAAAAATAATAAACAGCGACTACATAGATGTTAAAAATTGAATAAAGTAAAAAAAAAAGAATTGTAAAAACTTCGTCCAGTGTACATTAAAGAGAAATTATTATTGCCTCAGTTATAATAAAAGAAAAGCGAAAGTGCGAAGTCAGAAAGTGAAGAGAGAGAGAGAGAGAGAGAGAGAGAGAGAGAGAGAGAGAGAGAGAGACTACAAGGCCCCTTTATGCTGTTTGAAAGAAATCGCTAAAAGAGAGCAGAGGTTCAGAAACACTCATTAAAAGATCAAAGCGGATTCAGACATCAAAGTGCAGTTTACTGTATGTCTGTGTGAGCCACTGCCATTAGTGCGTCTTTGCTTTCTTCTGCAGGATTTGTTCAACACATTTAAGTCTTAACCTGTCTGTTTCCACAAGTTGCGTGAAAATAAAACAGCGTTTTTTTCGCTATTTTGACTGTTCCTTACAAACATTCCGATCACTTAGACTATTATTATTATTATTATTATTATTATTATAACGGAATCATACACACAATCAATGCATAAGTAAATCAATCCTACATGCTTATGAAAGTTTGAAGGATGTTTCTGAATGCATGCCGTTACTGCCGCCCTTAAATACGTTTTGGAGCTCAGACAGCTGAAATGCGGTAGATTAAAAGGCTGAAGATTAAGGATCTGCTATTCGTCCCAACTTTACCGGAAAAAAAAATAGGTAAAAGATAAATACCATGAGGTCGTTTTAATGGTAACTATTACTATAGCATTACACAGGAAGATCTAGTTTCACTTTTGGTTAAATCCAGATCCATAAACTGTAAATAAGTGGTAAAATAGTGGCAAAAATATATGTTTTAAAGTGGTAGTGTGTTTATTACCACACCCGAAGCGAATGCGTTTCATGTTGTTTTGTCACATTTATTGTAGTTGTTGTATTAATAAAAGTTGTATTAATAAAATAAAACAATCGCTGCCAGAAAAGAACTGATGCTGGGGTGTATAACGCCGAGACTGTAAGAACTCTTAAGGTTTAGGTCTCTGTTTGGCTCTAGAGTTTTAAGCGCATCGTTAGAGTGTGTGTGTGTGTGTGTGTGTACTCATTGCAGTTCAGCTCTTGAGATTAAACTAGTCTATCAAAGCGCTTTATAGAGTAGAATTTATTGAGCCTGATGTGAGCGCTCAGTGGGAAAGTTCAGAAGGCTGATCAAGTGCTCAAAATGAAAGATGTGCAGTGGATTGACAGAAGTGACGCATGTTATTAATCTGATTTAATAATAATAATAATAATAAAAATAATAATAATAATAATAATAAATAATAATAATAATAATAATAAGAAGAAGAAGATTATGTGACAGATCTCATAGACAGTGAGTGTACAATAGCGTACACCTGTGTGTTTGTTTGAGTTTGTGTGTGTTTCTGTGTTTATTTCTATATTATCCGTTTCCAGAAGCTGTACTGTGTGTTACACACCGCGCTGGATTAAACCGCTTTAACTCTCAATTCTAACTGAATTTTCATTCGAGATCCTTCACATATTTTGCTGAGAATTTATCAGAAATAACAAATGAATTTGATCACTGCTGCGAGGAAAGTGAATGTACTGCCTTTAAGATGCACAATTATGGACCTTAAGAACGTTGTTGTATTTTTCATCGTACGTTTACGTTGTTTGACCCTTGAGGGTCTAAAATGTAGCTATTCGGTAGCCTTTTTTATGACCCTGTGTTGTAATCTGATCTGTCCATCACTGTACGATTAATTGCGAAATGCAGTTAATACCATACACACACCACTTGAGTAAGATTAAGTTCTATACATTCTAGAAAGGTGCGCTTGAATAATTTTAGTTTATTTTTATTTATTTACGTATTTTTAGACATCTTTACTTAAAACAAACGTTTGTTTGTTTGTTTGTTAGTTATTTATACATTGATTTAGGACAACTTTGCTAGTAACTTCAAATGTATTCATTTATTTAGACAATAATTTAAAGACAATTTTGCTACTTTAAATGTATTTAATTTATGCATGGTTTTTAACACAAATGTTCTACCTTTTATTTAATTACTTTACGTTACCTATTTATTTATATATTTTTACATATCTTCATTAAGAAATTAAGAACTACAGCTCCAGCATGTTGAAAATGCTGCAATTGTGCACATGCATTTTTCTTACCTTGCTCCCAGTAATCCGGATTCTTAACTAAAACATTAAAACTACCCCACTGTGGCAAAGCTGCACATTTAGACCTGTACTGAGCTTAAATTAGCTTTAACTCTCTCTCTCTCTCTCTCTCTCTCTCTCTCTCTCTCTCTCTCTCTCGCACACACTGTCAGTGGTGCACGTGCCACACACCTGCGGCTTCTAGGTGCCTCATTTAGCGATTGGGAGGGGGGGGGCACAAATAATGAGAAGAAAGGTTTTCTCACAAAGCATTTCTGCTTTCAGAATGTGTTTCTGTGATTTGTTTTGCGTGAGCTTGTATAACGTCTGAGCGCGCGAGCGTGCAGCATCAGAGCATCAGCTGCAGCACTGCTGTTTCCACGTTTAGGGACAAAAGAGCGCTGAGCCACAAAGTGTCACAAATGACGAAATCTAGGTTTTTATTTTTTGGGGACCCTCTAAATATCGCGAGGCGTTCGCTTTGATTGGTTTTATGCTTATCCAGTGAGGTCTGCCTTTATGAAACACTTCGTAAAGAGTGACTCTCGGTTCCAAAAGCCAGGCCAAAGCCCCTCTGTACAACACACGCGCTGCTTATTTGCTATGGACTCTGACATTCTTTTTTTTTTTCTTTTTTTTTAGTTCTTTCCTGGCGCTTAACGGGTAATTTTAGTCTAGGAAAGCACCAACTGGACCTTTGTGTTTAATTGTTTGGAAGGCTACGGTGGTTCATGACCACAGTGGCCAGGTGGGCTCCGATTTGGTAGTCTTACACATTCTGAATGTACGTTCATTTACTGCTACCACTTATTACGTCCAGTGCTCGCCTAATGCTCTGTCCATCACTTTCTGGTGAAACGCTGGTAGCGCTCACTGTTTCTGACTGGGTTGCAGTTCAGGTTTTAACCGCTGGAGGGCGTCTTGTCCAAACGCAGGGTGATCAGCAGATTATGGAGAGCAGCGGCGCTCTTCACACGCACTACAGAGGAGAGGCAGCGAACCCTTGACAGCGAGGTAAAGCAGCTCTCTATTCACATTCAACTGCCAGACATGAGATTTTATATTATTAATGCTTGAGTATTTTGTTACTGTATGATGATCTAGGCCTAGGTTAATGATGAGTGACGGGCTGGGGGTCGTACATTTTTTAAATGTTTCAAACCGTTGCAGATGCTTAGGTATGACCGAATTGTTATTATTATTATTATTATTATTATTATTATTAATGTTACTGTTATTATTATTATTAGTAGTAGTAGTAATAGTAGTGGCAACAATAACAGTAATAGTAGTAGTTCATTTATAATAATAATAATAATAGAATAATACTTTCTACATGTGTTTTTACTTTTTACGCTCCAGTTTGTGTGTATGAAAAGAGACAGCTCTTTATGAATTATTAAGTGCTCTGTGATGTCCTGCTCTTCACCGTGAACATCATTCAGCTTATTTTTAGGTACAATTTATGATTAATGATTGTTGGATTAAAGCGCACTTGCACGAGCCTCACTCATAACTATGTTTTTTATATATATATATATAATTTTTTTAATATATGTCTGTCATGGCTTGTAGCCTTCGTGAGAAAAGTGTCAAAAATATTTACAAATGTTTAGAATTTGTAATAATAAATATAGAATTGAAACGCTGTGTGCTGCCGTAATTTTTGCAGCAATAAATGAAGCCGGCCTGCGCGCGCTTCCAAAAAACACATGTTAATACAATAAACGCTAGAAGCGCGTTGAACTCCTTTAAGCTTATGCAAATACTGCGCGCAGCGCTGACGCGGCTCTCCGGTTCCGCGCGATGACAGGTTGGGTTTGGTTTGATGCTGACTTTATTTGCCTTCTCGGACGTTTTAGCCGTTGGATTTAAACACCGGGCGATAAATAATGCCGTCTAATTAAGTCTAGAAGAGGACTTTACTCCCTCTCTCTCCCTCTCTCTCTCTCTCTCTCTCTCTCTCTCCACCTCTCCGTTTCCTTTCCCTTCATTTCATGCTTGATTCAGGCGAGCGAGCTCTGATAGCAGCGCACGCCCTCTGAGCTGGAGAAACGGGCTTTAGGGACAGTATTGCATTATCAGCTGAGCTTCTGAGAGGAGAAACGCGTTTAGAAGGGTTTAATGGGTGAAGTGCAGTGGCCGGTGGACCTTAAACTGTCGGCTGAAGTTTTTTACTCTTTTTTAATGAATGTGTGGGGAGTGCTTTCTAATGAAGGCGCGCAGGTATCTGGGGGTGCCTGTATGAAGGCTGGAAAAAAGCTTGAGGAGCAGAATCCCAGCCGCAGAGCAGAAAGAGACTCAGAGCGATGGAACTGTTCGCATTCAGCGCCTCCAGAGCAGATGGAGGCTTAAAGAGAGCCGTGCACTCGTTGTAGGCCCAAAACATGCCGACGCTTGGTCAAGGTGTTGCTGCCATTTTCGCTGGTGCCCAATTATTCCACAATTACAGTTAGATGAGCAGTTGGCTGGAGAGCGCGTGGTTGCAGAAGAACGAGCTCGACAGTTCCTCGTTATCTGAAATAATTGAGGAGCTGGTTTTGCGTAAAGACCGACCCCCACCGCACAACAAAAAAGCTTTTGAGGCAGTGAATCTGAGCAACAGCCAAAGACACGTGAAATTAATAAAAACTCGAAGCAGAAAGTAAGGTCCCTGGCTCTCAACACAAACGATCCACCATATGGATCCCCACCATTAGCGCAGTCCACACAGAGGAACAATGGAAAAGGTGCACCGAAGAGTTTCCATCGCACTCTGAATGCTGTTTATTTATTTATATTTACAACCGAGCATTTCTTTAACATCCCTCAAAGTAATGACGCTGAATTCCTTTTTAGAAATGTAATTGTATTGTTAACAGTATATAAATAAATAAAAAGATACATTTTTGTTTTAAATGGCAACAACGAATCAACAGCTGTTTCCTTAATAAATTTTCGCTAACGAATGAACTAATGATAACGCGGAGATTAGCTTGTCGATGGGTGCGTCAAATAAATTTACATCACAGTTATCTCGTGAGTTTTCTTCCTTTTTCTTTCTTTCTTTATTTATTCATTTATTTTATTTTTGTTGCTAGTTTTATCTGCTGTATGTAATTGGGCTGATGGTCGGATTGTAGCGTCGCCCCGTCCTTTAGCCCCCTTTTCCTCCAGTCCTCTCTGCCCTGCTCTTATCGGCCCTGATCGCCAGGTGCATCGGACACGCGGGTCAGAAGGTTCGAGTCTTCGTGATGGACACAGAGGCTGAAAGGCTGAAAGCGGCGCGGCCACGATGCTCCACTGACTCATATCAAAGCTCAGAGCGCCACAGCAGTGAGCCTGCGCAGCGAAAACCAGCACAAACACAAGCGTCTAATTCTGCTTTCAGACCTTGTTCGCTGCAGGGGAAATTCCTTATCCTAACAATAATAAAAATAATAATAATAATAATAATAATAATAATAAATAAATAAATAAATAACAATAATAATAGTTCGACGTTTGATTGATATATGAAAATATTACAGCGTTCTCAGTAATATATTTTATTCAGTGTGATATTCGGTTCTTTTTTTCCGCTGAATGTATTAACGTTAGTCTACTGTGTTCTTTTACCAGCAGATGCAGTAATCTTTAATTAGCATTGACAAAATGTTATATTTCATAACACTGTATTTCCTTTTTACGCAGTGATGTAATTATTAAGCCCTTCTTTTCTCTAAAAATTCTCAAAATATTCACATTTTCCAAAGTGTGTTTATGAACGCCTCTCTAACAGAACTCACTCTAACTGGCTCCACTTTAACCAACTTCTGACATCAACTTCTTTTTTTCTTTCTTTCTTTCTTTCTTTTTTCTATTATTTATTTTTCTTTCTCAATTTATTTTCTTTTTTCGTTTTTTCTTATGTTTAGTTTTCTCTTCCTTTTCCTATTTTCCCTTTCCTTTTTTCTTCCTTTCTTTTTTTCTCTGATAATTCATTCTTTCTTCGTTCTTTGTTATTCAGTTGTCTTGGTATTATCTTTCTTGTTTTCCCCTTTCTTTCTTTCTTTCTTTCTTTCTTTCTTTCTTTCTTTCGCTGCATTATTTCTTTTTTTCTCTTCCCTTTTTCGTGTTTGCTCTTCTTTCATCTCTTTCTTTCTTCCATACTTCTATCATTTTTTCTTTCGTAGTACAGTTTCGTCTTTCTTTCGTTCCTGGCTTCTTTCCTTCTCTCCCCCTTTTTTTCTTCCATTCTTTCTGCCACAGTACCCCTCCGCTAGCTCATTTTTCTCTCTTTTTCCCATTTCACCTCTGTTTCTCTTCTCTCTCGTGCTCTCAGTGTTGAGGACAGCAGCTCAGCAGCTCTGCACCAATAGCAGCTTCTCCGCGCGCAGGAGTGAAGGCGGGCAGAAAGAAGAGGAGGAGGAAGAGGGGGCATTTCCCTCAGCTCTTCTCAGGCTTAGGGCTTTCGTGAACGCCGCAGATCTCAATGGCACACTCATTTAACACTTAACGCCGTGACATCTCAGTCACACTGCTTTGGATTTTACTCGTTTCTTCCTGTTTTGGTGCGTCGAGGCCGCTCGTGTGTCTGCGCTCAGAGGGAGGATCCTGCTCTGTTGGTTAGCTCAGGGCGGCCAGGATACAAACTTTTGCGCTGTGCAAAAACAAAACAAAAAAAACATCCAGCGCAGCTCCTTCCTCATTAGCAGGTGATTGATCAACTTTTGCAGCTCTCTCTGTCTCTCTCTCTCTCTCTCTCTCTCTCACTCTCTCTCTCTCTATCTCTTGCCGAGCCTCTGCGCCAAAAAGCGTCAGGCTTTTGATGGAGCAAAGAGCCCTTCAGCATTGCCGGTGACGGCCGTAGTGAAAAGTTTGTAAAGTGGGCCGTTCCGTGCACGGTAGCGATTGAGATTGTGTGCTGTCAGCTGAGGTTTATGGGCTTTAGTGTTGGCATCTCAAGCGACAGCATGGCTGACGAAAAAAATATTGTTATGGATATTGCAACAGGTCCTGAGTCCCTGCAGCGGCGCCTCTGCGCGAGAAAAGGCTCGCGGTGTTCAGACATGCTGGACGGAATCAAAATCGAAGACCATCCGCTGCGGACAGGCCAGGCTGCTCTCGGAGTC